CAAAGGACAGATTGAAGATTACGTCGACCTGAAGATTACGTCGAAGTAGCTCCCGTCAACAATTTCATCATTCGTCATTCAGCCAAGAGGATTTGTACTTGAATAAAAAAACATTTTAGCATGGACATGTACCCTTACCAAGCGTACATAGAAAATCTCTTGATATACGAAAGCCAAGAAACCGCATGTGGTATTGAAACCTTACGAGTTGGCAAGTTCAACGGCATATCATTGATCAAAAATGACGATGCAGACCATCACATTGGATTTAATGACCGTCATAAGAAAACCCAACAAGGGTGATGCTTAAAATGGATAGATCGTTTTTTTTTATTTCCATATGTACTTGCAATACAAGCATTTCTTGAAAGGATTGGATGTCCACTTGACTGAATCGAAGATGTACCGTCTTCCATTTGATAGCTCATGCAAATCAGTACAAAACCGTTCTGGAAGAATAGTGACTCTACTTACGCCGTGTGGAAGTGTTTCCTAAAGCATGAAACTACATCAGTCGCACTGTGTGCAGAACGACAGCCAATTATCCGATACGACGAGCGCAAGCGAAAACCTTCACCATTAGCGCTGAACTATGATCCAAGATAGAAGATCATCTTTTCCAAGGACAGTTACCCAAACCCTAATCACTGGCATCATCTGCAATGCAGCCCTCAAAATCCTTTAGAGTTTCAACACTTCAAAGTGACCAAGTTAAACGTCAATCGAGATCGCCAGAACTTGTGTACCAGACCCTTCGAGCCTACTTTTTCCCAGTACTTTCAATTACTGGAGATCTTGTTGGTCTCTTTATGAAATCATTGGACAGCTAGATACCAAGATCAGCCATTACATTTTGTACGATAATTACGCATGAGTATATGCTATAATGGATTTTGATTTCACTCTTGACAAAGGCAACGACGAGAAAATTTCCATCCTATGAAATCCGGTTATCTATGCTGAGGAACTTCAGTTTGCAGAAGCTCTAGCCAACACGGGGAACATCATCGTGTATGTAGAAATTGATAGTATTCGGAATATCAAAAATTCATGAAACGTGATTCTAGATTATTAGATATTATGGAAGAATACGAATCTTCTTTGGAATATGGGGCATCTTTTGAGATGGGGATGATGATGTATTTCAGACAGGACAAAACGAAAATACTACAGAAGACAAAGAGATCGGCATGATGTCGATTTGGCCAGAAGACGAAGAACATTATGTTCCTGTTTTGCTAAGCACCTGGTTAAACAAATTATAGCGTTGACCTAAGAATATTGTTTTGGATGTCAAAACAATTATCAAAGTCAAAACCAATACGAAACAAATATGATGATGAACTACAAAGAAAAGTTGGAATGGCATCTGGAAGACGCTTGTACCTCATCTCCGAAAAGACAGTGTTGAATAATTGGAATCAAGACTTTCATGACCATTCCCATTCTTCACCACTTACATTTCTGGATATCCAACGCATCGAAGCTCTCATTTCACAGAGCAGATGAAGATTCTTACTTCAAAGTTATTTTCAAGGGAAAAGTCCGGATTGAATTAACGATTGAATTGTATCAGCAATAAAAATGGATACTTGTGAACTTTATTATCTTCTGACGCACAGTTCGTACACGGATTATGGAAACCTGCCGTGTGTGCTCAAGATGAACTTCCTCCTCGTAAGCCAAAAGACATTAAAACCTGTCATCAACAGTGACGATAGTCATCAACCAGTAACCAATTAGGTGGCCTTCAACGTTTCCAACGATCATAGAGTGGAATATTTATATTCGTATTGATAGCTGCCGTTGGAAGACATCGTTGACTTTATGAAATGAAATGCTGTATCGACTCTCGATTCAAAATTGTGAGATTACATGGAGCATATTCCATGATGTGTGGACAATATTGAGTATATTTTCTCCATCGATGCCCTCTTGGATTTCCCTTAGAATATTTAGTGACTTGTTTTGATAGAGGGTGATAGAAACGATGATAAAGTAGAAAAATGGTTTTAAGAACAGCATTGTTATATTTGGTCTTTAGCTAGAAAATGTAATGTTTATCAATGGCAAAATGACTTAGATAAGCGAAGTCGAGTTTTACTCCACAGAGTTGCCAACCTTATAATTATGTTCCTCCTTAAAATTGTTGATATGTTTATTTGTATTTTGTATTTGAAACGTTTAATCTTTCAATTAAAGATATTGACTTTTGAGATGGCGTAAGTTATTTTTAAATGGAAACTGCATGAATATATGCTCTTTTACCTTTCTCAATCACTCTAGATCATGTTTTTACTAAAAAATGAAATCGAAGGAATGTGTTCCGCTACGTACACACTTAAGGTACACAAAGCAAAGTGTTTGTCAGTCTGAACTTCTCCTTTTGGTCTGATAGTTGGTGTGTTTAGACTACACAAGACGTTTTGAAGTGTTTGCATTTGTGTGTATGTGTGTGTCTGGGTGTGTTTGTGTGTATGTATTGTTGGATGGTATAGATGGTGTACTAGACAGCCTTTGTGTGAGTTGCCATCTCCTCGATCTCAACGCTTTCCGTTTTGTCTGATAGTTGGTGTGTGTAGACTACTCAAGTCGTTTTGAAGTGTCTGCATTTGTGTGTATATGTGTGTCTGGGTGTGTTTGTGTGTATGCATTGTTGGATGGTATAGATGGTGTACTAGACAGCCTTTGTGTGAGTTGCCATTTCCTCGATCTCAACGCTTTCCGTTTTGTCTGATAGTTGGTGTGGAGATTGTATTTTGGATTGTGTGTACAGTGTATTGGATAGTATACGTTGTGTGTTAGTATGTGTGATTTCATCTCCTTCATTTAAACCTTACCTCTATCATCTGATGTTGGGACGACTAGAGAAGGCGTTCGGATTGTGTGCATGGAGTGTTGGATGTAAGATAGTTATTCCCATGTTAAATTCCTGTAGCCCCTCATACATCTTGGATAATAATAAATAATTCGGAGGTTTTATTATTGGGTAGATGTTAGAGGTGATGTGCTGGATAGTATGTGAGATTTCATCTTTTAAACTCTACGCTAACACAAGACCGTATGCTTGTGAGATTGCATCTCCTTCTTTTAAACTCTACCCATTGTTGTGATAGTTGTTTGGGGGCACTACATAAAGTATTTTAGTTTGAATAGGGCGTTGTAAGTGTATTGCTATTGCTAATTTTGTGTAGACTCTTATAAGTGTATGAATTGTAATCAAACATCTGTTCCTGGATTGTATATGTGATTTGCTTGAATAGTTTCTTTGTGAAAAACATCTTCTTTTACACAATACCCTTTTCGTCTGTTTTTTTTTTCTTCTGGGATTATAGGCACTGTACAGTGCTTTTTTATTTTTTCTATGGGGTAATTGGTTTGGATAGTAAATTAGTGAAATTTCATCTCTTGCTTTTAATCTCTATTCTTTTCTCCTGACGGTACGTGTAGGGTTGGACTGTGTGTGCTTATGTGGGTGTGTTTGTATGCATGAGAGGGTCTAGTAGTGTGTCTGTAAGAGCTAGTTAAACTCCTTTTTGCGATAGTTTACGTCTATATGTGTGGGTTTGTATGTGCCTGTCTTTGTGTGTGTATGTGTATGTGTGTGTGTGTTTAAGTCATTTCTCCAACAAAAACCGTTTTCCTTATAGAAATGTGTTTATATGGTTTGGAGATTAGGTGTATGTATGTGCTTTTTTTCCCTAAAAAGATCCTTTACTTTTCATAAAGGGTATTTTAGGTTTATTGTATGCATGTGTATGTCTGTTTTCAACTCAGACTTCAAACCTTTTGCAATCACGTATACCTAATATTTTTCAAATTCGAAATGAAAACGAGACAATAGAAAGTTATGTTTTGATAAAGCTTCATATTTAAGTTTGTTAATTATCGCTCCTAAAAATGGTAACTCATTACTTTGACTAGCTTAAGTAGGCCGTTCCGATATAAACAAGGTGCATAAGTATGTAGACAGTGTAATACACAAACAGGGTAACAATGGTAAACTCTGTAAGCACAGAACGTCAAATCGAAAGTCATCCTAACAGCACAAAAACACGTTATTAAACAAGGGGCACACGATAAGCTGTCTCATGGGTACAATATCTAGTTTTCTTTCCACTTACATAATTTTTAAATCTCATGTCCAACCTACCACTCTACCAATAAATCAAAAGTTAAAGGTCTGACACGATGGCAAATTATTTGTAAAGAAGAGATGTTCGAGAATGCAGGCTGAATATTAAGTATGTCTCACTAAACAGCGCACATTCTTTATAAACACAAACAAATTACGATGAAAGATCCCGCGGAATATTCGCCTTCACTATCAGTTTAAAAGTAAAATACTAAGGCTAAGCTACAATGATCAAGGGGTGAAAAAGGACAAAATGGGATAATAACATTTTATATTAATTTCTTCCAAAGTGTTTGCAAATGCAAGGGTGATTATATATATATATATATATATATATATATATATATATATATATATATATATATATATATATATATATATATATATATATATATATATATATATATATATATATATAATCAAAGGTTTCTTGCATAATATAAAACATGTCCACTTGTGATTGTATTAGATTGAAAGAGACACGTAATTTCACATTGATTACATATTTGCAGGTCCACTGGAATTACACACGGAACGCATGATGATAAGATGAAATAAATAATTTCTTTGAGGGCTTTCACTTCTTTCCACTGGTCATTTTACCGCACCATCTGATGTTGATACAACCCAGTGATTAAATATTTTATTCGTAAACAAAAGACAAGATTACCTGTATTGAACAGCGCTTTCCCACCAGGAAGAGTCGATCCAAGAGAAATTGGACTGCTTTGTACAAATACAGAATGCGAAAAGCTGCAAATAACCGCAATCATTACTTTATTGCATAAGACTGCATTGAAATATGACCTTGAGATTACATGCAATTTGAACCCTATTGCAATAATTACGACACATGTTAAACCACTCTAATTTCTAGTGGTTAGAGTGTCCGCCTCAGATGCGGAAGGTCCCGGGATCTAATCCCGGCCGCGTCACATCAAAGACTAAAAAATGGTAATTCAGCTGACTCGCTTCGCGCTCAGCATTAAGAGGCAAGTCTTAAGACTGGTTGGCCTGGTGTCAGGATAATGTGACTTAGTGAGACATCATGCCACATGTCTGCGGTATGATGTCCCAGTGCTAGACATCACTATAAACTGTCACACATCGTAGTGATATGACTTAAGAAGTTTTAAAAGCTACGTAAAAAATCTAAATCACACACACACACATACACATACACATGAGAAATGTTAACTTTATTACGTTATTCGTTGGTATTTCGGTCGTTGTGTATTAGTACAAGTAGCAGTAATGATGATATTTTGTTTTTTAATAGTAATACAAGTAACCGTAAGGATGTAATTTCCTTTACAAATTCTCTATCCTTTATGATGTTATTATTTGTATTAATATTAATTCCGCATGCTATAAAAAAGCATTCTCCTTTAGAATCGAGGAAGAGCACTTTCCGTTCTGTCTAGTGTATATTTATAATTCTATAATTTAACCTAAATACCTTGATATCTTTCATAGTAATCAAGAATGACTAGATAAATGAGATTTAATTATTGGACAGTCATGTGAGTGCGCTTAGTACACACGAGTGCATATAACACTGATTCAGTAGCATCATTTTTGGTGACGTGAGCTTAGTGTGATGGAATATGGACTTGTGTGTGTAGGCAAAGAGATTGGTGCCGTTTACCCACGGACCTGGGTTCAAATTTCCGCAAAGTACTAATTAAAGATTCTCTAGCATGTATGATAGTATACTAGTATACTATATATAAGGCAGATATAAGCTGTTTTACCGTTTTATTATATCGGGCGAATGAAGGGCAACCGGGCATAATTGTATTAGAGAAATCTATCCCGGTGCCGACGTGCAAAATATCCCTAATCATCAAGTCAAGGTTTGCCAGATATAATTCTATGGTCTAATTGAACATATAATCTTGTCAAACCTATAGCCGTTTATGATTATATACCTTCGCTAAAGGCCGTCTAGAAGGAAACATAATCCTTCTGAGAAAACAAGTTGCAGTATTATCAATTAACTATATAATACATAAATCAAGGGACCAAAAGAGTAATAAACAACACCAGCGTGATTTTCGTGTCTATAAAATTGCAGAAATAAATGGGTGAATGAGATATTTCAGTTACTAACTCGTCACTATAGTATATATAATCCGAAAAGGCTGACCTTTGAACTTTGCAGTGCAATTTTAGTAAAGGGTACGGTCATCAATCAAATTGAGTATTGCAGTGTATTCATATAGTGACCGTGAGTTGATGCTTTTCTTATATCAACCGTGCACGCAAGTTGGATTTGAACATTCATGAGGATCTTGGCAGACACAATGATTATTTTCTAATGTTATTTGTACCGTTCGCTAAATAGTGTAAAGCTCTTTACATAAAAGTGTCGCATATAAAAATTAATAATAAAATGTTGCTCTGCAAAGTACATAACTCATTTTAATATCAGTCGTCTTTTTCCCTTCAAATTTTATGACTGATACTACTTTTAAAAAAAAATAAAATTCAGGTTTTCTATTTGTTCTACAACATTTCCACGGACGACCTGAATGGAGATCGCGGAGCACGATTAATCACTGATCCATGTACTAGTTTGAGAACTTCTGACGTAGATCATGTTAAACCAACGCATTATGCGACGGCAGATCAGGGTACATGTTTGTAGCTGGGCTCCGCTTTCATGCGAGTATTCATGTACTTCAGGCACACTTAATTCTTTTAATAATGCATCTAAAATCTCAAGCCGACAGGTCATTATGTAGGACAATATTTAGCTAATATGCGGTGTTGTGACTTGTTTTTTTTTTGTTTTGCTTGCCAGTTTGTTCTGTTGCTTCTTTAAATATAAATGCAGTTATTGTCATACGCTTTTATTTTGCTTTGTTTTTAGTTTGGGTTTTTAACCGCACGAGATCGGCAAGCACCACATAAAACTCAGTTGAAACGTGTTTGGATGACTGTAAATGAGAGTAAATGCTTAACCACAATTTTTTTTTTAGTTAAACAAAGGTATGTATGTATGTATGTATGTATGTATGTATGTATGTATGTATGTATGTATGTATGTATGTATGTAAAAACATACACCCTAATATTCGGGTACATCATGTGACGGTGGATCATGGTCTATGGTGTGTGCAGTTGGATTCGACTCATGAGCGATTACATGCAGCTTTTCATGACTGTGACAGGATATCTACATTTTGTTTAGTTAGGAGGTGACGTAAGAAATGATTTAACGAATGGACAGTTATATAACAAGCGTCCTGCACACATTGTCACATAGCTTGTACGATCTTCAATCAGCAATATCAATAAGCGATGTTTAAATTTGTCCATTAATTAAGAGTGGATTTTAGTTTTGGATGAACCTTGTCTTGTCTGTGGGTGTCATTCATCTAGTCACCAGCTACATCTATGCTAACAGCGACTGGGGTGGGGATGGGAGACATTAGCAGAGGAGTGAAATAAGTAACATTAAAAAAGTTTGTCGATTATTTTGGTACATTTGTTAATGTAATGACCATAAAACTGGTAGACTTTACACGAGTCGATTTTTAGACTAAGGTAATTCATTAGCTTAAAATGCCAACTTTCTTCTCTAACACTTCTGTTTTAAATGGGAACGGAAGATGCGACTAAGGTCCCGAATCTGATATGAAAGCGCCACGCTGGTGCAAAATTATTTGAAATCTGTATCCTTGCCATATCAAAACTCCAGCGTTTGAAATGCATGGTTATTATTTTTCTTGGGCTGTGGTATGTGGGGTTGGTGGGCAATTGTTGGTTCACCCTAAAATGACGTTTCATTTTATTTTTTGTTGTCCTTTCTTCATCCAATTGCAGCTATTCTATAGCAATCCGTGAGACAGTAGGGTAGATCAGGTACTACGCAACTGACACACAGTGTTCCTCCGCTTGCTTGTGTCTCGAAACCTAGTATTTCCCAATAAATTGTGCACATCATTCACCATAGGGAAAAAAACAGGACAGCACAAGAGTTTTCTTCCACTTTACCAATGATTCTTTCGTGTAGCCGTGAGTCATTCCCTCATATTGATGCATTAGAACAAAGGCGTGTGTTCCAGCATTGAATGTCATTCGAGGAATTGGGATTTCATGGATTTCTGCTTACATGCGCATATTTTGGGTTTCGAAACTCAGTAGAGTAGAGTAGAGTAGAGGTGTGTGTGTGTGTGTGTGTGAGAGAGAGAGAGAGAGAGAGAGAGAGAGAGAGAGAGAGAGAGAGAGAGAGAGAGAGAGAGAAAATTTTGCATGTCACTGTCTTGTCAGTCCGTCATGGTCTTGTCATACGTACAAGACTATTGGGGAGATGTACATGCGCATATTTTGGGTTTCGAAACTCAGTAGAGTAGAGTAGAGGTGAGAGAGAGAGAGAGAGAGAGAGAGAGAGAGAGAGAGAGAGAGAGAGAGAGAGAGAGAGAGAGAGAGAGAGAGAGAGAGAGAGAGAGAGAGAGAGAGAGAGAGAGAGAGAGAGAGAGAGAGAGAGAGAGAGAGAGAGAGAGAGAGAGAGAGAGAGAGAGAGAGAGAGAGAGAGAGAGAGAGAGAGAGAGAGAGAGAGAGAGAGAGAGAGAGAGAGAGAGAGAGAGAGAGAGAGAGAGAGAGAGAGAGAGAGAGAGAGAGAGAGAGAGAGAGAGAGAGAGAGAGAGAGAGAGAGAGAGAGAGAGAGAGAGAGAGAGAGAGAGAGAGAGAGAGAGAGAGAGAGAGAGAGAATTTTGCATGTCACTGTCTTGTCATACGTACAAATGACTATTGGGGAGATGTACATACGGACCACACGTTTATATGTAAATTAAGAGATTCATCGTTTATGAATCACAGAAGAAAATGATAGATCAGTGAATTGTTAGTTGTTTAAATGAATATATGATGACTCAACAATTTTGCTTTAGTTCAGTATATGAACATATTTCTTTGGTGGCGTACGAGTTTTCCATGCACATTATTGATGAACAAGCAAATCTATGCTGAAATAAATGTATTGCTGCATATCCTCTCCTTGGGCGTATTCATTACCAATGTTTTAAACACTCATCAAAATGTGCCGTCAGATCAGGGTTAACTCTGCTAGCTCAAAATGTTAATGTGAACGAAAAATGGAGACCATACATTTTGTCTACCCTAGCTAACTTCCACATAAATTTTCCACAATCAGGAAACATGGCTCTTGTTTAATCCTTTCATGGCAAAAAGCACCTGAAATTTTTCGAGGCAAAATCTCATCTTGAGTTGTTGTCGCCACGGCAACCACTCCTTAAACCAGAGAAAATTACTCCATATGGGTTTCCGGTATTTACTATCTATATTTTTAACCAGTAATGGAAACGATCGATATTGGACATAGTTTACAATTATTTAGAGTTTCAGTCATGCGTGCACGACCATGCCTTATGTTAGCTCCTCTTTCTCCCATCCCCTACACATTGTCCCGACAGGCGCAAAATATATTTTCCAAACAGATCAATCCCTAAAGAAAAGGAAAATCAAAATACGACAGTGTGATTGCTTCTTGTAGAAGAAAAGCACCGTGTAACTTTGTTAATTTTTTCCCTGGAAAAATATCCCTGGATTTGCTGTCCTTTGGCGGTTAAGGATCTATCAGACGGGATAATTTATCCTCGATCTGCTTTTTCTGACAGGGGAAATTCTACTCGGGATCCTTATTATATTCGGTAAAATCTAACTCGGCGATTAAGTGGTCTTTAAACACATCCTCGCTAGGCATTCGGGATTCGAGTTTACATTGGTTGCAGTTCAGTGATGATTATATTAAGGTAAATTAATATGGTTTTAATAAAGAACCCGACTTTATGATTTATATTACATCTAAGATTCTGAAAATGTTGACGCACGCGCAAACACATGAAATTCAAAACATGAATCCATCGATAAGTCACTACAGTTAATTAACCAGTTATGATCATCAACACGT